CGATGGAAATTATCGATATCATATAGAAGTGCCAGCTCATCTCATGCATTTGTGGAGTTCACATGGATTTATGAAACACAACGTTGAAATATTTCTTTTAACCATGTTATTGATCAATATATACATATTTCAGGCCTGACTTCTGTGCTTGGGCTAAATGTGAAAGTAAAAATAGTTATTTTCGTCCCACTATTTTTTACAGTGCCAAATAATAGTTTCATTTTTTCACTTCAACAAGTGCGAAATAATTGTGAATAAACTATGTGATACACTATATGATAGACAAGTGAAGTTAACTTGAGCAAATGCGTAACCATTATGTGATAATCTATCTATGCGGGCGAGAGATATGCAGAGATTTGGTGAACAATTCCGTCAATCGCATGTCTGTCGCATTTCAGTGGCAGAGCAGTTTATTATAAACAATTATTCTTGTATGCGAATGAACCTGAGACATTTAGGCGAATAAAAAACACATAAAAAACTTTTGAAAAAAGAAATTAATCTTTGAGTATACTAATAAATTAAAGATGCCATTGCATAAACAAATAGAAAGAATGGAATAAAAATAATTTTTTATTTCATAATATTTAATAATAAGGAAAACTACACTTAACGCACCTAATTATAGAGTTTTTTGCACTTTACCCACTCAATTTTTTTTCGTGACACTTTGCCCATATAACTTTGCAAAAAATTACACTTAACCAATTTCCGGTCACCGTCGGGAATTTATAAAGGCAAAATTAACTTTTCAGTCATTCATTAAGTTAATTGTCATTGAAAATTTACACTTTACCTACCCACCTATATCTTTCTTTGCACTTTACTCACTCAACTTTTATTATTTACACTTTGCCCTTAGAAATGGTCGGACGATGACTGGAAATCGGTTAAGTGCAATTATTTAGAATGTTATATGGGCAAAGTGTCACGAAAAAAAGTTGAGCGGGTAACATGCAAAAAACCGTATAATTTGGTGGGTTAAGTGTAGTTCTCCCTAATAATATTACATAAAAAAGATAAAATCTAAGTTATAAAATTTTAGGGACCAACATAAGCTCGTGGTTCTCCCACAGAAGGAATGAATTTTACATGTTTTTTTTTCAAATAAAATAACTATTTTATGGTGTGGTAATACACATAAATTTCTATTACTTTATAAGATAATTAATAGTTTTATTTAATATTTTTTAATGTAGTTTGATAAATAAATTGAAGTTTCTTTATAAAAATATATATCAATATTTTGTATTTTATATATATATAATATGGATGACAAATTGAAGATCGTTAAAAGATAATTAATTTTATATATCATATATAAAGAATAAAATACAAAAAAAAAGTTATAAAATTTTAAAAATAAAAAGAATAAACATTTATAATAATTAATGTATCAATTAAATAAGAAAATGAACTGTAATATATGCTAATGTAGAAAAAAGAAACTTAAAATAGTTTTGCTTAATAATTGTAGAAGAAAATAAAGAATGGATCAATCATGAATTTAATATGAATAATAGACATTAAATAAAATTTAAGACTAATTCGTTTTGTATAAAAAATATTAATTTATATCAAGTCTAACTTCAAAGCATGATTTTCTGCCACACAAGATTTCAAAGCGTGAAAGTTTGTCACTTAAACTCAACACATTCGTTAATTATATATAAAAATGTGATTTAAAATTTCAATATAAATTTTTAAATCACCCGTATAATCTATTCTAGGTGTTGTAGAAATTAATTTTAAAATCAAGAACTACTAAATATACTCATTTTTCACATCAAACTACCATGTCAAATAGAAATAGTTTATTAAGTGGTGTTATGTGCCCATCTGATGGACGAAATGGATCGTCTACTTCTGTTGGTGCTTTGCTAGTAAAGTAACAGATTGAACGGTCGACTAAAGGAATCTAAAATCACATGTCGGCTGTTAACTTAAACTACTATTAGTTAGTATATACATAAACGTGGCAATCCTGTAACCATTGAAAACGTTAAAAAGAAAGAAATTCGAAAAATTGAAATTTACTGAGTGATAGATAACTAAAGAGAGTGATTATGATGACTAAGGAGAGTGATTATGTGCTTTCCGATCTTATGAATTTGATTACACAAATTTTCAGATTACAATTACGAAAAAGGGAATGATTGAAAAAGCCACCAAACTAACTATTCGGACAGCATCACGGCGGCGGGCGGCGGGCAGAGTTGACGTAATCTTGGAGAGCTTGGAGTTGTTCTTTGGAAGGAGGCTTTTCGTTGTTCTTTATGGATCTGTGGACATCGTACGTTGTCGTGCCCAATATTAGAAGCCTGTCAATTTCTGACTCATAAACTCCTTCTGTTTCTTTAATGAAATTGAAACAAGACATTAAACTAGTAACTCGATGAAATAACAATCTTACCCGGAGGCGAAAACAATAATTTGCCTTGGATACACAAGCTTCCCAAAAATCCTCATCTCTCTCTTTCAATTGCTTTGTGATCTTTTTTGTTTCGAGATTTGTGCCCAATTGCACACTTCAAGGGATTTAAGACGAACTTCAGAGGACGGCAGCAATTGGTAAAGAAAAATAGATAAAATAGTTATTTTCATTCCTTCTGAATATAGACTACGTTTTATACACAGTTAATTAGGTTATGTTTAGTATAACAAGCTAATAAGTTAACTGATAACTGATAAGCTAACTTATAGCTTATCAGTAATTTTTGAGATTATAATTTATAGTTTATGATTTATAGCTGAAAAGCTAGCTTATATGATAAAAGTATTTGGTAAAATTAGCTGATAAGATAGCTGAAATAAATAATTCAACTACCTTATTTGAAAAGCTACTTAAAGTAGCTTATAAGATAAACTCCAGCTTTTTAAAAAATTCAGTCCTACCAAACGAGACTTATTTGAATACAGGAAGCTTGTAAGCTAACCAAATAAGCTATAAGCTAGTTTATTTGGCTTACCAAACACAGCCTTAGTAAATTAAATTTTCACTCCATTTATTGCGATATTCTATGCGACAAACAATAGATGCAGAAAATGAATAAAATGCAAAATATTTATGCGATAAACTAGGTGACAAAATAACTATCAAAGTGCGAAATGATTATGTGATAAACTATACGACATACATGCTAAGATAATCGAGAAAGTGCAATCTCATTATGTGATAAACTACAAGCAGGGCGTAGCCAGGGTTTTTTTTTTTTAGCTGCTTAACATTGAGCTACTATTCAAATCAAACTATTCAAGAACACAACTCAATTTGGCTCGTAAAAGCTCGAACTCAACTATTTCATACATTTCAAAAGGCTAAGCTCGAATACTGATCAAGTTTGTTTATTAAATAATCACAAGTTCGAACATGAAATATCTGACTTGGCTCGACTCGAATAACATCTTTAGCTAGATGCCAAGCATAAAGAAGCCAATGTATGAAAATAATTCTTTTTAATATTTAATACAACTTACATGAACTACAACGTTAAATGAATGAAGTATATTTTAAAAATCCAATGAATGTCAAAACTAATAAATTATTACAATCCATAAGTTCAATCACAAAATAATATTTTATTTGAATTCTAGAAGAAAGAAAATATATAAACTTAAACTATAAAGTAATTGATATATTCAATATGTAATGTAATATAAATTACATGAATAACCAACATTATTTCCAATACAATGATTCATATGATTTAACCAAAATAAAAAAGAAAACAATAAGAAGAAAAACAACATGTTAAACTATAAAGAAAAGTATATAGAGACTTACATCATGTCCAAATATGCTATTCTTAGCCTATACAAATTCAAATTTTACTGTCTCAAATGTTTAGTTGTGCTTTCATCAAACAAGTAGTGTGCATAAATTCAAACTAAGTATATTTCTAAATTTTTCATCACAAAACAATTCCTATTAGCTCTTGATCATTACTTAACGTAAAAAAAATCTCCTCACAACACTATTAAAACAAATATTAATCAACAATCTTCTTAAAATTTTTAAAATAAATTAGAATAAGGAATAATTTGTGTCTTTTTTTTTATAAAAAAAAAAGGCTCAAACCTCTTTGTTGACGGACGTTTCCGGTCAACGGTTAAAAAGTTATGTAACGAAAAGATAATAGGAAGAAGACAAAGAATTATGGTTTGATTACGATTTTATTAAGAGATCACGAGGTTGGCCTCTCGTACGAGGTCGGCACTTGCGATGTACTTACAGTTTCTTACACGAGTTTCTTACAAGCCTAGAGAGAGAAAGTATATAAAAAGCTTTTACAGTTGAGGTTCAACAACCCGAAAATAAATGAGGGGGTTGCTATTTATAGTGGTCTTTAATGCGGTATTGTTTAGGTACTATTCACCGGTCTTGTCGTACAGTAGTTCGGCGGGACAGACCGGCGCTTCTCTGACCGATTGAGAGTGATTTCTGGGTTTTCCAATCATTACCTGCCACGCATTTAATACGGATGTGACCTGCATTTAATGCGGACACGTTTTCTAGCCGAACTAGACATCCTAGTCCTGTAGACTAGTCTGGAATGTCCCATCGGCAATCATTTGTCGACAAGTGGCCTTATTTTATTGTGTTTAAGACCGTATTCCTATTAGGGGCCGCCCTTGCAAGATCTCGAACAGGGTGCCGACCTCGTAGTTGAGAGGGCATGGTGCCGACCTCGGAATCGGCTCTACCCGCCGTTCCTGGTGGCTTTGATTTTTTCTCAACTCGGCACCCACGAACGGTTCTGGTAACCGGCTCCTTCGGTTCGGCCGGCCACCGCTCGGCTCTCAGTCCATCGGGCCGGTACCCTTATTGGGGCCGGACTCGGATATTAACATACAGGCCCCCGAGCTCGGGTGAGGTCCGTCGTGCCTCTCCTGAGATCGTCTCTTATCAGTTGGATCCGAGCTGGGCCCATCGAATTCGTGCCCGACCCTTTTTT